CTGCAATCCCAGAGGTGCATAGTTTGAATCCACCAGATGCTCTGCTTGAGAAAGAGGGGCAATCTCCTCCTATACCAGTTGGATCTGATTTGACGGTACACACACACAAAATTAAAAAAAGAATACATTTAAAAAGGCATTGATTCTCCTTCTATCATCCCTAGTCATTGTCCAGCTTTCTGTTGCATAGCAAGTAATTGCAAAGACTATGGCCTGGATCAGGCACACCTTAGTCTCCAAACTGACATTGTTGCTCTTCAGAACTTTGGAGAGGTCTCTGATATATATACATATATCCTTTAAAAAAAAGTTTGTAATCTTAATGTTTTGAAAATTTTTCCCCCTTCCTAAAATGTTAACAGTATAAAAAAAAGTTTGTAATCTTAATGTTTTGAAAATTTTTTCCCCTTCCTAAGATGTTAACAGTAATTACTAAAGTACTGTTTCTAGTTGGAGAGCTTTCAATATGGATTGCATCGCAATGTCAAGATAACAAAAATTCTTACCACTGTACTGATAGGCAACATCATGATAGACAGAGAGAAGATTGAAGTTATCAATGATTTCATTTAACTTGGATTCACAATCAACACTCTTGCTACCAGCAGTTAGGAAATCAGCAGATGGATTACACTCAGAAAGTCTGGACCTTTCCAAATTATTGAAGATCAATGATGTCAGTTTGAGGACTAAGATGCATCTGATTCAGACCATGGTCTTTTCAATCACTTCTATGCATTTGAGAGTTAGTCCATGATTGATGCCTTTGAGCTATGGTGTTGGATGAGAGTATTGAATATCCCACGGACGGCCAAAAGAACAAATAGGTATGTCATGGAGACATGGAGGCAAAACGCTCCATGGAGGCAAAGTTCATGAACCTTTGTCTCATTTATTTCAGTCATGTTTCTAGGAAAGGATATTCCTTGGAGAAAGACATTATTCTTGGAAAGGTCAGCAAAAGCCAGGAAGACCTTCGTCCAGGTAGGTTGACACGGTAACTGCTGCAATGGGCTCAAGTGTATCAAAGATTATGAGGACGAAACACGATGATAGGGTTTGGATCTGTTGTTAATAGTCGCTGTGGGTGGCACTCGACTCAATGGCCCCTAACACACCAACAAAAAGATATACCACACTCTCTTCCAAGAGCAAGGCTCAATGGCATCAATTCTTCTTCTGTCATCCTTATTCTTGTGCAGCTCTCAGCTACATAGCAAGTGATTGAAAAGATCATGGCCTGAATCAGTTATACCTTAGCTTTTTTTTTTTTAAATTTATTTTTTGTGTGAGTATACCGTCAAATCAGATCTGACTGATACAGGAGGAGATTGTCCCTCCTTTTCCGGGCAGAGCATCTGGTGGATTCGAACCTTGTGCCTCTGGGATTGTAGTTGCAGCTCCTTGCCACTAGGCCACCAGAGCTCCCCTATACCTTAGTTTTCAAACTAACATCTTTGCTCCTCAGTGTTTCGGAGAAGCCCCTGACAGAGAACTTGCCCAGTGCAATAGTTTCCTGATTTCCTGGCTGCTGGTACCACTATGTCCTTACAAACTTATAAATGAGCTGGTTTTCATTACTTCTGATTTAATCTTGTTTGACTCTCCTCCTTGCTCACAAAGTTCCTGATATACAGGCCAACTCGTTGCTCCTTGAACTTTACCAAACTTTGTCTCTCAAGATCATGGTATTTGCTGTTTCTTTTGTCTAGAATACTGCATTGCATACCCCAAACTTCACTCTATTTCCACCAAATTTTTGCTCAACTGTCATCTTATACCTAACCCCTTTCCTGACTCTGCAATTTCCCTTATCCTGCTTTATTTTTCACAAAAGCACTTCTCAATATCTAAATGACTTACTCATTTTTTCCATTTTTCCACCTCTAGAAAGTAAACTCCAGAAAGGCAAGAAATTAGTTTTATTTATTACTTCATTCTCAATGCTGGTAAACATGGCAGGTACTTCATATTTATCAAATAAATTAATGGAAACATACTCAAACTATTTCCTCTGGGGTATGAAGAGAGCTACTATATATACTCTTACATATCATTAAGTGTACTTTCACAAGACCCTTGTCACTCCTGCATTTCATAAAATTAATCAGACTTTTAAATCAGATTATCTAGATTTGCCCACTAGTTTACCATCTGTTAAAACATAATCCGAAAATAAGCTACCATGGTTAAGAATAAAATATAGAAGAAAAAACTAATCTGGAAGAAACCCCTTTATCCATTTAAATTAGGGAAAAATGTATTTTAGCAGTAGGGAGTGCTACTGGTGTAATTTGCATGGCTGGCACTTTTCTGTTAACCAAGGTGCTTTGACTCTGGTGATTCTAATCCACCAGTCTCTTTCCATTACAGGTTTCAGTCTTCGTCACCTCATAGAGTTTCATGGACTTGATTTCTAACTCAACAGCAGTAAGTGAACAGAGAAAAACCATCTGGTTGTGAAAACATAATCCACAGTTACATGTCTAGAATAAAACGTGTCTTTTCTAAGACATTTACTTTTTGGCAGCAAAATGCCAGGGTCCAGTCTTTGGGGCATGCTTCAAAGCTACAGCAGCACACTCTGTCATGAAAGAAGCCTAGGACCCAAGAGTAATCAGCAGGGATGTATGTTCAAACATAAGAGCAAGGATTGAACACTCATGAAATGTCAAAGATATTAACTAAAATGAAGTAAAATTAGGAACTGGAGAACATGAGATTGTTAAACTGATTAAGGTTGAGCCTTGTGGAGACTTGAATTTCTCACACATCATCAATATCCAGGAGGGGAAGAAAACTGTATAGTGCTTTCCAACCTCTTGTGACTATAGCATCTCCTCCTCCACCCCCAGTAGTTGTAATCTTTGGACACAATTCAGGAAATATTAACCTCAATTTTTTTTTTTTCAAGTAACCTCAATTTTTAAGGAAAAAATATTACTTAAAGTCTGGTTGCCGTTGTGGAGTTTGAAGAGGTGTAGTAAACTCTAGGGTAAGCTGGAACCTACCGGCTGGGTGGACCTTTGTCACCAAATTTATGACTCACCTATCAGGTGCAGTAAAAAAGGTGAGAGGATGTGGACTGCAATAGGATTGAAATACTTCTAGACTCATTTTCATTTTAAAAATAACTGCCATCAGGTGCAAATCCTCCAGAAACATTTAAGTATTCATCTGGAGAGGACTGGGCTTGATTTAAAGTCATAGCTAGCACACTTTAAGGGACAAACTCAATTTTGTTGCCTCTATTGGATTGGCAAGGCTGTACATTGCACATGGTTGGATATTGTTTCTTCTGAGGAGCAGCTAAATTTAACTCAAGTGGCCTCAGGGGAGTATTCTAGAGACTCAACAGAATCCTTAACTTGGGACCAGAAACTTGTGCAAAATGAGTGCACTCTATGCAATTTAACAAGTCTAAATTTATGGCTGAAATGATGGCTCTTAAACACAGGGAACCTTTGTTATGAATACTAAAATGTTTTATTTCTATTCTCCTTTAAAAACTATTTGTTGTTGTGTACCTTTCAAAGAGAACTGACCCACACCTGACCCTCCAGTGGGTTTTCAGAGATAGCAAATCACACGGAAGAAACTGCCCATTTCTCCCACAGAACAGCTACTGGCTTCAAGGCACATGCCTTTAGCAGCTCCCTTAAAACCTATATAGGGTGACTGATTTTATAAAAAAATGCCTATTTACAATCATCCTTTTATCTCCCTTAATAGTCACTAACCATGGTCCACCCTTCTATATTTTTACCTTTTTCTCCCCATTGTTTTTCATTGACAGGAATATTGCTGTGACAATTTTTACCTCCCCTAGTCTACTATTCATTCCAATTTGCAGTTAGGCCATTTTCAATTATTTTGAGAACAGCAAAAATTAAGCCACCAGAGTTCCTTTCACCGACTGGCGAGAAGCCTCTTTGGACAGACATCAAGAGTATTGACCTGCGACCTGCTGTTTTCTCTGTATATCAAATATCTTGAGTCATTGCAACCAACTGTTAAGTCTGCTTTCAGAAAGTTAATAGAAACCATTCCTTTAAAACATTTCCAAGTAGAAAATACTTATTGTAGCCTTCCACAACCCCTTAAACCTAAGGACAGAGGCACATGCACCTTTTAACGCAAGATATTTGTTTTTTAGGCTAATTAAGATGATCAATCAACATGTGTTTGTCACGAAAGGCCCTGGATGCCAGTTTCCGAAGACATTCTTGGTATTTCTGAAACTTTCTATTAAGGGTCCTAGAAATCAATTTCCTTACAGGAAAGGCTTAACCATAAAGGTTTATTTTTCCTTTCCCTCTTTGGTTTCTAGATAACATTTCAATTGTTTGGGAGAATTTTATCACTACACATTAAACACCTGAAAAATTATGTAGACAAGAGGCTTAACTAGACCAAACTACAATACCACCCATGGTAATACTTAGTACTTAGTCAAAACCATCAGGTTTCTGAAGCTTTAAATTTTTTACACAAGACTGCTCATCATTTTCCAGTGCTGCTGCCAGATTCAAACACACTTTGCAGTTACCAGCGTGTGACATACATTACCCAAATTTCCTGCCAACTGGACAAATTTCTGGTATTAAGGAATTATCTTGGAGGAGTCTTCCATTCCCCAAGTTAACTTTTCAAAATGAAGGTCCACTTTCCATCACATTGCAAGCCCTTTAGGAATAACCAAAACTATGACCATAATTTAACCTACTGAACATATTTACCATAGTTTGAGACTATGGAATCTTACACCAAAAAAAATTTACCAGGTTGTTACAAACGCACTAGTTTTTTCCTGCATAAATTTCAAAGTATGTGTAAACTTGTTAACTTCATGCCTATTTCATTAGAATCTCATAGATCAGCTAGTGGTGAAATTAAATCAGCTGAACTCCCTAGCGACAATGCCACCAGATGATCCCACCCCCACACCAATTAGAGTTCCCCTTATCACTACAAAATTCCAAGACCATGGACACAAATTATGCTACCATGCAACAAAAATTTTATTAACATTTTGAACAGATTCAGTGATTACTGAAACTGGTTATTTCTAAACTTAAACTGAGAGAAAAGGCCATAGTGCAGAGTAATGCCATCATTGGGCACTTTAACAGCCGCCCCTCAGACGAAGGACAAGGTGCAGAGTTGACTCTTTCTGGATGTTGTAGTCAGAAAGAGTGCGGCCATCTTCCAGCTGCTTGCCTGCAAAGATGAGCCTCTGCTGGTCGGGTGGGATGCCCTCTTTATCCTGGATCTTGGCCTTCACATTCTCGATGGTATCGCTGGGCTCCACCTCCAGGGTGATGGTCTTGCCAGTGAGGGTTTTCACGAAGATCTGCATACCACCTCTCAGACGAAGAACGAGGTGCAGGGTTGACTCTTTCTGGATGTTGTAGTCAGAAAGAGTGCGGCCATCTTCCAGCTGCTTGCCTGCAAAGATGAGCCTCTGCTGGTCGGGTGGGATGCCCTCTTTATCCTGGATCTTGGCCTTCACATTCTCGATGGTATCGCTGGGCTCCACCTCCAGGGTGATGGTCTTGCCAGTGAGGGTTTTCACGAAGATCTGCATACCACCTCTCAGACGAAGAACGAGGTGCAGGGTTGACTCTTTCTGGATGTTGTAGTCAGAAAGAGTGCGGCCATCTTCCAGCTGCTTGCCTGCAAAGATGAGCCTCTGCTGGTCGGGTGGGATGCCCTCTTTATCCTGGATCTTGGCCTTCACATTCTCGATGGTATCGCTGGGCTCCACCTCCAGAGTGATGGTCTTGCCAGTGAGGGTCTTTACAAAGATTTGCATTTTGACCTGGAAGTTAAAAACAAAACTTATTTCAAAGCCAAAGAATTCTACTCTTCCCAGGTGACCACCAGTTTACTCTCACAAAGGCCTTCAAATTCAGTTAACAATTCCCACACCTCTTCCCTGTATCTTGCTCGTATAAGTGTAAACATAACTACAAAGTTCCCTTAACTAGATTACAGATTTCTATTCATCCACAAGTTGGACCAAATACAATTTTTACTGTTACTATCAAGAGCTTGCTTCGCAGGAGCTCTGGTGGCCTAGTGGCAAGGAGCTGCAACTACAATCCCAGAGGCTCACGGTTCGAATCCACCAGATGCTTTGCCGGGGAAGGTCAATCTCCTCCTCTACCAGTCAGATCTGATTTGACGGTACACTCACACAAAAATAATTAAAAAAAAGAATAAAAAAAACAAAGAGCTTGCTTCGCTAACTTCCCGAGGTTTAGTTAAGTACCCTCATTTTCCCAATATCAAAGCAGAGAAAAACAAAAATTTTCACACAAAACCCGGAAAAGGCAAAAAAATCTCGTTTAAGATGCCGTCCTCACATGAGATCAAAAATTAAGGGCCCAGGACTCGCATGGTAACTATTACCAGCCTTCCGCCTCTGAAAAGGACTCGATCCCACCGGTTAAGCGTCCGTTACTTTCCCCGGGCGCGCCGGGCCCTCGGCTCCAGATGCGTAAACAAGGCCGCTCTTCCGGTAAAGCCCGGGGCCGCGTCGGCTCGCCGCCCCTCCCTCCCCGTAAACCGGCCTGAAAGACGGCCGCGAAGTGCCCGGTCGAGCCCTCTCCGCTTCCCGCGCGGCTGCCTGAGGACGCGGGGCAGTACCTGCTGGCTGTTCGTGAAGTTACGCGAAAAAAAAGGTCGGACAGCGTCTCACAAAACAGAACAGTCTGCTGCGCTAGCCGCTTCTGAAAGCGGGGGCAGAGGGAGCTGATATTTATATAACGTCTCTCGTTGTCGAATCACCTCCTACGTAGCGCGCGTCTCTGTTCGCCGCTGAAAATAGTCCATACGGCCCTCCACCACTTCGCGATCACTCAAGTTCTTCAACTAAGCAACAGATTCCTCTGCCCAGGAAAAAAGAATCCTAAGAAATCGGTCCCCTTCTCCTCGAGTCAGTATTTCTTTAGAAAAAAGAAAACTTACCAGGCGGATGAATTCGTGTCACTAGGTTCTCCTCGAAAGCTCTGGAAACTTCCTTGCGTCGTCGACGCTAATTGGCGGGGCGTCTGATGTCGAACCCGGCATTGATTGGTGTAGGACGCGGAGGGGCGTGTTGTTGCTGGGCTGGTTTAGGGCGGTGTCGTTAAGTAACTGTTGCGCATGCGCCGCCGAGGTGGGCCCGCTCTAAAAGGAATCTCTTCCGGAAGATGCGGAAGGGACTTTTTTGCCTTTTATGATTACCGCCTTGACCCTCAAAGTTTTTGTTTGCGGGAAACAGTAGGCGTGGAACAAGCGAACTGTGAGCCGGTTTCTACTGGCAAACTGCCGCAGCCTCGTTTTGTGGTGCCCGGTCCCCGCACTGTTTTTTTCAGCCTCTTGCACACACACACACACACACCCGCACTGTTTTTTTTTTAGTCTCTTGCGCGCGCGCGCGCGCGCGCACACACACACACACACACACCCGTCCTAGTGTCGTCCGCGCCCCCCACACACCGCAACCCCATACTCCCAAACACGCTCACCTGGTACACAATACCTTGTCCCCCAGCCCTCTCACACTCATCCTCTCTTCTCCCCCCTTCTCCTGACTCCTCAGCCCCCCCACTGTCCACTGCTGCATGCGCAGACACAAATACCCCCAAGATAAGAAATGTGCCCTCTCACCCACCCTCAAGAAATGTGCTCTTCCACACACACACCTAATACACACACAAACCCCCCCCAACATAAGAAATGTGCTAACTCAGGCACACATTCACACCCCTAAAATAGGAAATGTGTTCTCTTTCACACACACCCTAAGATAGGAAATGTGCTCTCACACACACACTCACCCCCTAAAATAAGAAAAGTGCACACTCGCTCTCACACAACCCAAGAAATGCGCTCACTCACACTAGCCCTCACCCCCAAGAATTGCGTACTCTCAAACACCCCCCCAAGATAACAAATGTGTGCTGTTTTTCTCTCTCACACACACAGATGCACACACATCCCTAAGGCACACACAAACACACCTGAAGATAAGAAGTGTGCTCTCTCACACACACATACACCCCCCCTTAAGAAATGTGTGCTCGCTCTTTCTTAGACACACACACACACACACACACACCCTTAAGAAATGTGCTCTCCTCCTCACTGGAGAATTTTCAGCTTTACAACGACCCATAAACGACAGATTGAAATTTTGCCCTTCCTTGTGCCATCCTCACAATCTCCACCCTGCAGTCATTGTGTCAGTTCTTACTGAGGGTCATCCTGTTTCGCTGACTCTACTTTTCCAAGAACGATGTCTTTTCCCAAAGACTAGGCCCTCCTGACAACATGCTCAAAGTATGTGAGATGAAGTTTCACCATCTTTGCCTCTCACAAGTACTTTGGTTGGACTTCCTCCATGATATCTTTATTATTTTGACAGGCCATGGAATATCCAATGCTTTTTACCAATACCACAGTTCGAAGGTATCGATTCATCTTCAGTCTTCCTTATTCATACTCCAGCAAGCATAGATGAAGGAGTTGAAAATACCATCATTTGGGCCACATGTACCTTAATCTTTAAACAGTATCCTTGCTGTAAGAGGGTATGCAAATCTAGACTTAGTTGTGAGACTCCCTGCAATTATCATAAGCCTATAAGGTCCTAGTTTCCAGACCGGGAATGCTAAGCTCCACCTTATGGTACCAAAGGAGTATCCAAGAGTGGCACTGACCACGTTTTCACCCTCTCCTCCATTCTTGTGATTCCCCAAAAATCTGGTCAAAAGAAAAGAGAAAACTGCAACTTAAGAAGATAAAACCTCACTTTACACGACAGAAATTTATCTACAGAAAGTAATACTTCTCATAATAATGTTATTTTTTTTCTAAATTATATACTGGTTTATTTACAAAGTTCATGTACATTGTTTTTCACATGAATCTTTCCCATTTCCTTCACCCCCCCCCACTAATTTTTTTTAGGGTAACATAGTAATGATAGATATAGTAGGAAGTTACATTGAAAAGAGAGGAACTTTTCCTATAAAAGGAGTTTTACGGGAGTTGGTAATGGAGGGACAGGGGTTTGGATCCCCTAGACAATTGATTTGAGAAAGATGGGGGATTTCCTCCCAAAAAGATTTATATCCTTGGAAACCTGGTGTAGGGTCACTCTGAATCAGAATCCTTTTGATAGTTGTGGATTAGTCTTGTTTTTAAAAGTGCAGATAGTTAGCTAGCACTATGCAGCTTCTCTCTAATCTGGTCTCTCTGCTCAGCCGGCATAAAGGAAACACAGACAGATATTTGAATATCTGTGCCAGGCAGCCCTATGTCTGAGTCATGGGAATAGGGATGTAAGCAAACACTCAAAAGATGATACCTTAATAAATAGTAAGTCCTATGGAGCTGGTTCTGACTTGTAGTAACCCTTTACAACAGAGTAGAACTGCTCTATAAATTTTCCCAGGCTATAATCTTTAGAGAAGGATATCACCCCAGGATGAACATCCCCACCCCCTTTCAAGTTCTTAACCGATGCACCACCAGTCTCCTAAGAAGTTGTGTAGGTTCTTTAAGTTGGGTGAAGGGAAAACCAATATCCAATATACAGGGAATTAAAGAAATTAAACACTTTTCTTCCTTATCTGTTTCAATGCAGTATACATTATTGAATCCATCCTTCTCAGTCTCCTCCCAACCCCGAGGTCAGTCCTTTACAACAGTGGCACCATGCAGTATTTGTCCTTTTGTGTCTGAGATATTTCACTCAGCATAATATTCTCCAGGGTCACCCATTTTGAATAATAGTTCATGAGTTCCTTGTTTTTCAATGCAGCATACTATTCCATTGTGTGCATATACCACAGCGTCTCTATCCATTCGTTTGTTGTTGGGCACTTAGGTTGTTTCCAACTCCTTACTATTGTGAACAAAGCCAGGATAAACATGGGTGTGCATATATCTGCTTGGGTGGCAGTTTTGGTTTCTTTGGGGTATATTCCCAGTCGTGGAATTGCTGGGTCGAATAGTAATCTCTATTGACAAGTTTTTGAGAAAGTGCCATACTGCCTTCCACAGTGGTTGCACAGTGGAACATTCTTTTAAGTGGTACAGCACTCTTCTGTCAAAATTCTGTAGTGAGGTAACCTGGAGTTGCTGTGATGGTAAACCTTGTGCCATTGGGATGTCAAATGCCATAATGGTTACTCATGGCAGGCAGTGTTTGGGGGATCTCCCAGATTAAGATAAGTTTGGAAGCAGGAGTGGCATCCATGTCCTAAACAACATGCCTCTGGAAACTCTTAAGAATTTTGACAAATGATGATAGTTATAGAAAAGCTTCAGGCCTTTTGTTCATAGGGTCACTATGAGTTGTGCTCCACTTGATGGCAGCCAACCACCACCACCACCACTGTTTCTGCTGCCCTGAGGGCCTCACTAGCCTCTCAGCAGAGTCAAGGGTTCCTTCCAGTCCTTCTGTCAGCTAGTATACTTAGAAAACCCTAAAGACTCAGCAAGAAAACTATTGGACATGGTTGACCAATTCAGCAAAGTAGCAGGATACAAGATCAACATAGAAAAATCAGTTGGATTTCTCTACAGTCACAAAGAGAATGCAGAGCTGGAGCTAAGAAAAACAATACCCTTCACAATAGCTAATGACAAGATTAAATACTTGGGGGTAAATCTAACCAGAACGACAAAGGACCTATTCAAAGAAAATTACAAAACATTACTTCAAGAAACAAAAAGAGATCTGGAGAAGTGGAAGAATATCCCTTGCTCATGGATAGGAAGACTCAATATTGTGAAAATGGCAATACTACCAAAGGCAAGTTA